TGTGTTATTGTTCCGACAGTTTCTACGGGATTTCCTTCCTTATCTTCCCCCGTGAGTGCAGGTGAAACATAAATCTTAAGTGTTTCGCCTACACACTTAAAAAGAAGAACTGAACTGATAAAAACAATTTGAGAATAACTACAGTTTACCTTAAGCAGCTAGAAAATAATCTGACAGAAGCATCTCAGTTGGAGAGGACAAACGGTCCTATTATAGCACATCCTGTGGTGCTGGACGTTTTGTCCAGTGACACACACACACACACACACACACACAAATACTCACACACAGTATAGTGGGGAGAGGATGGGTCCGGGGGTGGTCCAGAGTCCTGAGAAAGGAGAGGGGAAACACCTTGTGACCCTCTTGTTCCTGACCAAGCAACTGGAGACAACAAGGATGGGCGAGAGAGCACCGCTGGGCAGCTGCCTTGATTTGGGTCAATCAGTTGTTGTTGGCTAACATTTGACATCATGATTAGCTGCTTAAATTTGATGCATTCATGAAGTGTTAAAAGCATTTTCATCAGGTGGAAAAAAAGGACAAATTTAAACTAAGTTGAGGCTGCAATGGATGTCAAAATAATCCTGTCCTAGTGTGTGTGTGTGTGTTTGAGTTTGTGTCTGTGTTTTGTTTTAATTTCTTGGCAGACGTGCAATAAGGAAAGTAGATAAGTCATAAATGAACAGTCAGACTTTTGTTTCTTGTGGCAACAACAGTAATCAGCTTGCAAACACTGCTGTAGTTTTGCTCTGGCTGGGCCATGTTTGGGTTTTGATATGGATGTCGAAAACCAACTATCTCCCAGACACAGACAGCATGACTTCTGCTGCAGCTAAAGTCTCCATCCAAGGAAAACATTGCTTTGATGCACGCACATGTCCAGTTTACTTACACAAAATAAGTGTTAAAATACATAAATCTGGATGGATTTACTTCTTCATACTGCAGCCTCAGATATATAGGAAGCAACAAGCTCAACAACAGCAAGAAGCTAGTGCATGAAAGTACTCTACTGGTTTAGCATTGTCGGACTCACGATGGAGTGTCATCGTGAGTCGAGTATCAGCAGAACCGAACATCCAGAATCCACACATTCTTCTTTCTTGTCACAACCTGGCACCTACATTACCCACAATGCAACTCGACTGCAGCAGCAGAGGATTTAAAACAAAAATAAAAATGTTTTTATTGTATTTTGTTTTAGTCTTCTGAGATTTATAGCAAAATTCTTTGAGTTTTAGTGCACCATAGAGGTCATAAAGGTACATTTGACTATATGGACAGAAATACTGTAATAATTTAATTGTAAAATAATAAATTATTGTTGTAAATTTGCAAGTACCATTTTGAATATCTTCAGAGTTAAGATATTAATGTTGAAAGCATCTGTTTCATTGTAATCTGAGATGCATGATGGCATTTTAAAAAGCCCTCTAACTGCAGGTGCATTGGTCATTAGTGCTTCGAGCGACAAAAATTAAACAATGAAGCAGCTTTATCAGCTCAAACATTACTCATGACCGGGTGGCGGTCTCTATTCAGTTCAATGCTGAAGTCAAGAGTAGGCAGATGTGGGAGAAAGATAGCTGCTTGTGACCTCGAGCTTAAGGGTTGAATTAGGCACATGCAGCACAGCACGATGCCCTCTGGAAGTTATTTACAGAACTTTCCATTTCACACTATGAAAATGTATATTATCCTTGTGCTTTCTTGTGAGATTTGATTTCTTTTTGCATTGGAAATGCAGACACGAAGAAGCAAATTGTCAAGCAGGAGTAGCAGACACACAACAGCCAGTGATCCTCAGACAAACTTCAGTTTGACAAGATGCTCTGCCAATTAGCAAACCCCTCAGCTGGAGCAGTGCCCTCGCACATCTGAGGGTGTGGCACTGGCTCCACGGCACAGGAGTGCGATGTCGTCTGACACAGCAAAGTCGGCACTTAGCAGGCTGATGTGAAAGGTCTGCGGCTGTGGCTCACAGTTAGTTATAAGATTGGATGGAAATACAAATCGATGTCCATTATGAGTTATTGTTATCTCTATTCCGCATAAAGTGTTTTCAGCAGGGACGGTGCGCCCTTAGGGACCAACCTTGTCTCTTTAAATGATACCACACTGTGACCCTAGACAACCTTTGGACCTGGTCCCTTGGTGCCACAGCATGATTTGTGAGGCCTGGGGTCTGCTGTATCGGCCACAAATCAAGGAGGCGAGAGGAGGATCTGTGTGCTGCCATCAATTTTTACACTTCAAACAAACCTCAGGTCCCAGATTACACCTTCAATCACTTATCTCCACCTCTGACTAGACTGGAGTTGACATAAGTCCATTGAAAATGTCCCCCAAGTCGCCTTTCATTGACTCCAGTGAACTCAGTAAAGATGAGTATCACAAACCTCCCTCTCTTTAAAAATATCAGCTGCTACAAATCATATAATAACAGTGACTTTCCATCGTAGGGCTGCATAAGTATCCATGGTATCCCTCAACTGAAAATACAGCTGATGGTCAGAGTGAGATAGAAGCAGTCATATCCAGCAACAGGGCAATTACAGCAGATCAAAAGCATTCACAGCTGTGGCAGGGACACATGTGTGGTCCAGGCCTATAGTGAAAACCCTGTGACACAATGCAGCGATAGGTGACAAGGTAGATGGTGATATATGGGGTGGAAAGAAAATATGACACAAAATAAAAGCATGCCGTGACTTCTGGTCAAAACTGACATTGAATAAATTGCATCATAGCTGATGATCATCCTCCCAACCCCCGTAAAACTGACTGTAGGATCAGCAGCAGGGCTTTATCTTGGCACCTATAAAGGCTCTGATTAACAAGTGAGGAGGTCCTCTGAAGATATCAAGATGGTGGTCTAATCTGACCATCTGTTTCTTATCTACTCACCTTTATTTTTTAAATTTGCTAATTTATTTGTCTAAGGGATACCGGGTCTGCAAGCAGCAGGCGGCCAATCCTCTCCCTGGGGAATGAGGCAGAGGTGGGATCCACCTGGTGTGTGTTTGTTTGTGTGTGTGTTTGTGTGTGGTTTTCTAAGATCAAGGATCACCTACAAGCAGAATAAGCATGGTGCATTTTTCTTTTCCCGAAGCCAATCTGAGGAGGATCACTGCTTTCACTTTTTTTATTTGAACTTTGAATTTTTTGACAGACAAATACAAAATCATGTAAACAGATGTAGTGCAGCAGTTGACTCTCCACGGAGAAGAACCTGGGTGTCAACGTCTTCTTGTTGTTGAAAGAAAGATAAAGCCTCCATGCTATCTTAGATTCCCCTAAACTGGCTCTATGTGCAGCACAATAACCGGTCAAGCTGATAAATGTGATCCAGAGAGAACTTCCTGAAAGCCGGTGCATTTACAGTAAAATAATCCACAGTGAGGATTTATGTATAGTAACTCTCTGTCATCACCACTAGGAGGCCCGGTTTTGGACAGATTATCCAAAACAAAGCTGCTGTAAATAATGCTCAGCACTGCCCAGACTTGTCCACTCTTTGTTTCACTGAATTTAATTCATTTGAGTTTGCTTAGATTGGTGCCGGTCTACAAATAGCATTATTTTGTGAGCTGATGAATTCCTAGAATGCAGATTTCTATATTTCGGTTCCTTTTCTCAACTGTTCCCATTTCTTGTAGTGGTTTGTTTTATTTTTGGACATTTACTAATATAATTTCCTAATTTTTTTCCTTATGAGTTACACTGCATTTACTCCTAGCGCGATGCAATCTGCAGTTCAAAGAGCATGCATTAACCAACACGCTCAATGAAAAGGATTTAGAAATAGACATTGTTAGCACAGTGATGGTGTCAATGTGAGGTTTCCTTGTGTTTTTGTTTCAAACCGGTGCGTTTGCGTGTCCTTTTATCATGGAAATAAATCCCCAGACATGAGAATTGAATTCGCACATCCCTTGAGCTGCCCGCTGACGTTTAATCTTATCTTCAAACAGTTTGCAATTCACTGCCGATCTAATTACGTTGACATTTCAAGGCAACTCATCAAACTGGTAGGATAATATTTCAGATGGCAAGTCTGCAACACATTTTTAATCTGACAGTAACCTTTCGTTAATTGTCAATTTGGCGACAAAAGGAGACGAAAATGTGACCCATCCGACAGTTTGCATTTTTAACAGCCGTTTAATTGTGATTGTGATGTAAAACGAGATACGTTGAAATGTCCAGACTTGTTCCGCACACTATGAGCAACATCCACCTTTACTAACGAAGTCGCTGGTACACTAATGCAACGCTGAAACGTTTTCATGCCGATTAAGAGATAAAAGATTTCTCAAGCGACAGCGAGGCAGAGCAGCCAACAGGTCCGCATCTGTCCGCTTTGTTTACATGATGTCATTTATTCACTCCAGTGACGACAAAATGCTGATTAAATCAACTGTTCGATGACATGATCACCATTATTATTGTTACATTATTTTTATTAGTATTAGAACGTGCTCGATCGCAATTTAAAATGATGTAGGCTTTTTTTTATATACGTATATGTTTGTTTGTTTTTTACAACGAAACAAGTTAAGTTCTAAGTAAAAAACTTCAAAAATGCATTGACTTATCAGTTGATTGATTGATTAATGTCTCTTATTCACCAGATGCAACTTCGATCAGACCTCAGGGTGGGATCGAGTTTACAAATTCTTAATTGTGGGAAGTTACTGAACGTACTGAAGTTACGTTAATTACATTTTCTTGCAAATTCCTTATAGATGGTTATTAATTTCGCATAGTCAAAAAAACATTAGATAGAGGGTTTCACCTGCCATATCGGGGCTCCTCGTCCTCCGGGCAGAGGGTTGGGCCCCGCCAGAAGAGGTGAGAGAGAGGAGGGGAGGGGGGCTGAGAGATGTTTTACTGGGGGAGGAGGAGGAGGGGGTCGTCCTGGGAGGGAACCAGGGGTGTGGAGGGCCGAGTTTAAAAAGGCAGACAGAGCCAACAGTCACTCACTCTCTCACACAATCTGCCCTCCTCCAACTCGGACCAGCAGTCAACTCAGCAGAACCTACAGCTCCTGTGATTCTCTGCTTTGGTTCACTTCTGAAGACTTGGAACTGTACAGGGCTCAATCTTTTTTTTTCCTGAGAACAAAGGATTTTTTTTTTTAAATATCTTTTCCACTGTAGCATGGAGACCACCACGGGGGAATATGTTGATAACTATGAATACTATTATGACGACAATGAGACTGCCTGTGACTTCTCAGAGTGGGAGCCCTCTTACTCCCTCATCCCGGTCCTCTACATGCTCATCTTCATCCTGGGCCTGTCAGGTAACGGTGTGGTCATCTTCACCGTCTGGAGATCCAAATCGAAACGTCGGGCTGCAGATGTCTACATCGGGAACTTGGCCATTGCTGACCTCACCTTTGTTATAACACTGCCTCTCTGGGCCGTATACACAGCGCTGGGCTACCACTGGCCATTCGGTGTGGCTCTGTGCAAGATCAGCAGCTACGTTGTTCTGGTCAACATGTACGCCAGTGTTTTCTGCCTCACCTGCCTGAGCTTTGACCGCTACCTGGCCATCGTGCACTCTCTGTCCAGCAGCAGGCTGCGCTCCCGGGGCACCATGCTGGCGTCCTTGGGGGCTATTTGGGTCCTGTCCGGCCTGCTGGCTGTGCCCACGCTGCTCTTCCGCACCACTATGAACGACCAAAACAGCAACCGGACCACATGCGCCATGGACTTCAGCCTGGTCACCATGAACCAGAAGCACGATTACCTCTGGATCACTGGGCTCAGCCTGTCCTCCTCCGCCTTGGGTTTTCTCCTGCCTTTCTTGGCCATGACCATCTTCTACTGCTTCATCGGCTGCACCGTCACACGCCACTTCAATAACGTGCGCAAGGAGGACCAGAAGAAGAAGCGCCTGCTGAAGATCATCACCACACTTGTGGTGGTGTTTGCCTTCTGCTGGACTCCCTTCCACGTGCTAAAGAGCATGGATGCCCTCTCTTACCTGAACCTGGCCCCGAACTCCTGCGGCTTCCTGCGCTTCCTGCTTCTGGCTCACCCCTACGCTACCTGCCTGGCCTACGTCAACAGCTGCCTCAACCCGTTCTTGTACGCCTTCTTCGACCTGCGCTTTCGTTCCCAGTGCCTGTGCCTGCTCAACCTGAAGAAGGCTATGCATGGCCAGATGAGCTCAATGTCCTCCACGCTCAGCGCCCAGACTCAGAAGTCAGAGATTCAGTCACTGGCCACCAAGGTGTAGAGGATAAAAGGAAAGGTGGAGCGTGGCTGCGGGCCGGTCCCAGCTCCAACCACTGGAACACTTGTAAAAAAAAAAAACTGAGATGATGAACTTTCACTGCTCACAGTCATGAAATCCATAATTTGTTCTTCTTATTCTACAGCGAAAGATGTGGATGCTCTGTTTGTTGTGTGGATCTGCTCCAGCTGGCTGAGCTCCTTAGCTGCTTTTTTGTCCCTCAAATTCTCAGAGAAAAAAATAAGTATTTTTTGTTTTGTCCTGCTCTGCAAAAGTCCTCATTTCTATCATGGAAAGAGGGCAAAACTATGATTTTAGAAACTCACACTGATGTTGGGAATTGTAAATCAATTTACACAGGAATCTGTTTACACTGGATGAAACGTAAAGCTGTACAGTATTTTCATACCATAGCATTGTTTTTCTTGTTCAGATATATTGCTGTTTTGTTTTAGAAGCACTTGTTAGAAAGATATGTGAGCAGGGAAATCAAATAAAGCAGTGTCCTCTTTAAAGCTTGTTATTTTTGAAGGTAGAAGTCTGCAGAAGGGGGGGGGGGGCGTAAGAGGAGAAAAGGTGTTGCAGCTTAATTATATAGTTTGTCGAGAGGAGACGGGGGCAGACAGGCAGATGGCAGTTGACAAATGTTGTTGGGAACAGGAACGGGGTGGGGTGGAGGGATATCGCAGTGTAGTCACAGCACTAAAAGAGGACAAAGGAACTCTGTAAATAAATGTTCCAATTTGATGTATATGTTTTATTTTTCGACATCACTGTAACTAACTACTGTATTAAAGATGTGTTCTATGAACCAGATTTACTAGATTTATTGAGAGAGAGTGTGTGTGTGTGTGTGTGTGTGTTTGATTGAGTGAAGACCAAAATGTATACTTTTGTTAACACTTTTGTAAATGTAATTTTAAAAGTGGAGAGGAGAAAGTTCTAATACTAAATGTAAATATTTGCACAAAAGTTTATCTTTTGGAAATTAAACTCCTGTAGTTTGACACCAGTTTCATTACACCGTCCTGTTATTCCAGTGTCAAGTATCTCCAGAGGGTTGAAGCTTTGTTATGAATGCTTTGCATTTGGTTTACACCTTCAGACTAATAGATCTCTAATCTCTGTTGATTCACAGCCAGTATCCAGACTGTAACCGGATTATGCAAAGTGACCGTCATCCTGAGTGTGTATTCAATACTCAGTTGTGACTTCCATCAGCTGTGGCACTTTAACTATTTGATGACACAGTCCTGTTGGTCACAATCAAAGGATTTTGAATTTAATAGTGTTTATTACCAGCAGATGGAGGCATTTCCAAATATTTTGAGTAATCTGTTTTTAGTTCAAGTTAAATCCATTTGAAGTACTTACAATTCATGTAAAACAATAAAAAAAAGACTCTTATCTGCAGGACGTAACATCAACCGAAACCCACATGTTCACTGAATAATAGGGTCATTACCAATGAGTGACTCTTCTGAGGGATCCTTTGATTTGACAGTAATGAGCTCTGTTGGACATAATCACCGTTCAGAGATGGCGACAGCGGGGGGGAAGTGGAACTCTAATCCTGGCAGAAGTCGGGACACCGAACAAGTCGATATTTGTCCCCGCTGACAAGTGATTGCAGTTAGAGCGGTTTGTTGGGGTGCAGGGCGGGGCTGGGGGGGAGGAGGGCGTCTGACTGCAGATGCTCCAACACACTGAGCAGAGAGGCTCAGAAAAAGAGGAAAAATAGTGAACAAGGTGAGGAATATAGCTGCAGCTACACAAGTTCGTCTCGCATCACACTCTAAAGTAACAATATATGTGAAATGGCGAGAATGTGAAGCCGCATGATTCACTTCGTCTTTGTGTGTGAGCGATCATATGTTACTTATTGTCCATTTGACAGCGGAGCAGCTTGAAGCTGGATGGATGTGAGGGCCTCGGCCTGTTCATCACACGCAGACAGAAACAGGAGTGCTTAAACACATAGTTATTCTTATAGATGAGTCAGATGCCATTTGGACGGATCTATAAGTGAGAGCCCATAATACAGACTTTTAAAGCATCACTATAAGGACCGGGACAAAAGCATGCAGCCTTCATCTGGTTCGTCATTTTAAACGTATGACAATAAGACAGTGGAGGGTGGAGTCAATCATGCATGCTGGACTGGCCAGACTTGTTGTTGTCATTGAGATGAGCTGGGCTGACAGCTTGTCTGGCGCTGTTAGCCAGCAAGTCCACTTTGGGATAACTCACCCAGAATACCAGCTGAGCAAAGCACCGGGGGTGCACAGGGGACACCGCCAGCACAAAAACAACAGTGGTGTAGGCCTCTGTATGCACATAAATGTGTTCGTGTGTGGCCTGTGTGACCTGTTTGCGTGTATGGATGTTGGGGTGTGTGGGCTTTACAGTGTTCCCAAAGTATTCTTAGAGGGAGTTCAACCATGGTAACCCACTGGCACCTTAAATGTTATTTCTTCCTCATTAGGAGAGTAGAGCATAAACATGCACATATTAATGTACTGGTTCTGACTGGTTACTTCTATTCAAAAATACAACACATTGTGCGGGTAATTTAATCACATCAATGAGGTGCATTCACTATTGTAATCTTCTTTTTTTGACCTATGGTTTTGTCTTACTGTCTTTTATTTTATGGAGTTCCTGTCATATATAAAGATCAACTGATAATGTGATCCCTTTCATCTTACTGTAAAGAATAAGACTAGTGATATTCTACATTTTTGTTAATGTCAACAGTTAAAATCAACCAAAACCAACCAACGTCTGTCTTTCAATATTTTCCAACTTTCCTACAAGTATGTGGCTCTCAGTCCTGAAGGTGTACATCTGTAAGAACTGGTCTGAAATATGTAGTTCTATTTTCAAAATTGACTAAATAATTTCCGCTGAAACAGCTGGGCACTGTAGTTATCAGCAAATGTTACTCAAAAGGGAGCAAAGCATTTGAAGGGAACTATTTTCATTGGTGTATTAATACACAGGTGTTGTTCTAGTCACTATTTGCAGCAGCAGAACAGTGTATGTGGGTCTGACTAAAAATAAACTATAATGCCCATGTTCATGAAGGAAGGTAATAAAGGAACATGTCACCTGGTGCAACAGTGTGGTTCATTAATGTGTTTTAATAGTTTTGGACAACAATGGCACAGAGGAATCAGGCAATTTATTTCTGGTTTTGGATTATTGATAATAAATAAAATATAGAATATCACCAGACTAATGTCACTGGTAGCACCATCACTCTGCATCTCCAGCCTGAGTTGAACACATTAAAGCAGCACACACAGTTGCCTGCTCTGAGTGCTGTCGTCAGTGTGAGCTGCCACACCCAAATGGGACATCTGAACCAAAACACAACTGCTCACCTCTCCTCAGATCTCCCTGCTGTTCAATCCCACCCAAGAAGCAACAAATGTACTCTGCAGTGTGTGTGTGTGTGTGTGTGTGTGTGTCTGTGTGTGTGTTCATATGCACATGTAAACAGAGATCTGACACTTTCCATGACCTGTCAACGCTAACCCTACTTTCTCTGTAGCATTCGTCCACCTGTTGCCACACCATAACACACACACACACACACACACACACACACACACACACACACACACACCTACACACATTAGGGTAAGTATCTCTAAGTATGTTTGCATAGGTGTAGTGTATGTGTGCCTTTTTTCCTCCTCCCTCCTTATTTCTTTAAAGGTCCAACACATTTTCTCAATCAGCCTTTGACTATAAGCAATGAGGGTCGTCATGGACACAACATGTTCTGCCAACGTTTGTCCTGTTTTAGTTATTTCTCTTGAAAAACCCATTTTATTATTTGCAGGATAGTCTTTGCTAAAAAAAAAAAAAAAGATGAAGCAAAAAACAGATATCATTTGAATGCCAATTCTGTTAACAATTCCAGCTTTTCTCTGTAGGATAATGAACATAGGATTTTTGTACGAGGGACCGTCCTTTAAGCTCCGGATTGACAGCTTTGTGATGAGAAACTGTACAGAGGATTAAGGCTCACACTGTACTGTTAATAACATAACATGTCTGAGACGGTGGTGGTCTGAGTCCAGCACCAGTCTAGACAGCAGAGCCTCTGATCAACCAAGAACAAATCAGTCCAACCTGAAGCCGGAACCTGGAAAGTTTAGCAGTTTCCTTCTGCCATAACTGACTCTCCCTTCACCTCCCACTAATACCATGTTTTACACAACTTGTACATGCAGCATTTATTATTTCAGTCTCTACTGTCTCTCACTGACGTCACCCTTCCCCTCCCAAATCTTTTAAAAGAAAACCTATTTCCGGAACTGTAATAAAATGTTTACTTCAAGACAAGCTTAAATGTTACAGAGCTGTCTGGAACCTAAATATTCATTATCCAAAGATGATGGTGGGGCTTTAAGAATTGTGATAATAAACTGTAAAAACCATAGCCATAACAAAAAAAAAATGACCATATGAATTATACATTAAAGTTGAAATGAATAGTCGATCACTATGGTTTTCTTATCTTACATGTTTTTGGGGTTTTGGTATGTTGGACAGACAAAAGACCTCATTTCATTGAGCAAAATGATCTGAATATGAACATATGTATATACAAGTGCAGAGTGTCTGCAGAATGATGTGGAGTAAAAGTATTAAGTCTCACATAAGTAAAAGCTCCTATTTTACTGCATTCACAGCAACATTTCTACTCGTATCCCTTTGCCTTTGCTGATAGTGATCAATGGCATTCCACGGCATTTGGAAACAAAGCCAAATCACCACAAATCTTATCAATAGGTCTCACAAATAATGAGGTATTACATGTCTAATGATGCCTCACAAAAGTGGCCACTTGACTATCCAATACATCGACACTGCAGTCTCCCTCCTTGACTTCTCGCCCGTATGACGGCTGTAAATTGCTACCACGTCTGCTCAAGAATCATTGAAATCAGCTTGTCTCAGTAATCTGTCTGGTTTAACCTGGAAGTGGCCTCTCAATAATTGTCCAGACCTTGAGAACAACGGCCTAGAAAAATACAGCATTTACATGAGATCAGTGTTTTCGTGGTAATTTTGTTATCTGTTGGCACGTTTCGAGAGGTGATTAGGAAATCTGGGCTTTCAAATGGGTCTCCCCAAAGTCGCCTCCCTGTCATTGTTATTCACTGTTGTTCAGGGTCATGTCCGCTCCACCCGTTACGGCACTGACTGGATCTGATGGGCTGGGGATTTTAGTCAGCTGAGAAAATATATGAGGACATACAATGTAAAGACTGGGGTTAAACTTATAATATGCAGCACATATGTGTGTGTCTATCTATCTATCTATCTATCTATCTATCTATCTATCTATCTATCT